TTGTAAAGCTGTGTTTACGTCGAACGTTTCACAGTTCCGCTGTGCAAGGTACTCGGAGGCGTTGGACCTCTTTCGCGCCCCTCTCCGCGACTTCCAACAACCATTATAGTTTATTCACCAAGTTTTTCTTAGATTATATTTAAAATTAATTTCAAATGCAAAGTATAGTATTATACTTATTTATATTATATCAAATACTTGGCCAAATTCAAAAAAAAATTATTATTCAAAATTCAAATTCAAAATCTAACTCTTAAAAATATCAAAATAAACTATCCATTTTTATTTTAATATTATACTATTAAAAATCATCTTCACATTTGAAACAAATCAATATCTATTTATATTATATATATGTGTATATATATTAATATATTATATTTTTTTATTTATTGGCTGATTGGCAAATTAATTTAATTGTAAAATATATTATGTATTTTTTTAAATATTAAATTTAACTTTAAATTTTAATTATTATATAAACATGGCATATAATTATTATTTTTATTTAAATTTTTATGTTGATAAAAAAATTAATAGTTTTATTTTATAAAATATTTTAAAATAAAATGTGATAATGGAGTATTCTTTTATTTTTAAAAATATAAAATAAAGTTAAAAATAGTTCATATTTTAAATAATTAGTCAATGTGAAAGTAAAATATAATCAACTGACGAAAGAAAAATTATTTGACCTTACATTAAATAAAGAACAAAAAATGGACGGTATAATACCTCCATGTCAATTCCCTTTCTCTCTTTAAAAATTTTCTAAATGTGTTTTGAATTTGAATTTTAAATAGTAAAAATTTTGGATGTGATTGATCTGTGTATTAAATACAAATCAATATTATTTGGCCTTTACGATTTTTAATTAAAAAATATATATATTTTTAATAAAATATCATATATGTTCGTAATATTATCATACGATTAGTAAATAAAAATATTAATTATTTCCATTGTTAACCACTATTTTATATATTGTATAAATATATAATATAGTATATCTAGTAGGTATATGCTATGATATATATTATGTATGCATGCCATAGTATAATATAATAAACATGCTATGGATGAGTATATATATATATATATAAAGTAAAAGAGAGAGAGACATGGCAAGAGAAAGAGAAGTAAGATGTGAAGTGTTTATTTCTTTGTTCATGCACTTATTACATGGTGAAATATACATATATATAGTATATGGAAACGATAACAGATTCCTACAAAAATGCCAACAAGATCTTTACGTAGCCTTTACGCATAATTGATCGAACATATCCATTTATGTACACGTATTTATTATGTGTACAATACTCTCCCTTGAATGTTTTTAAACAAAGAATGTGTTTCGTTAAAACCTTACTAAAAAAAATTATGTGGGAAAAAATTCTAGTGAAGGAAAAAGAGTACAACATTTTTGTATTCATTTGCTCCCATGATCTAAGCATTATTTGAGATCTCTTAACCGACGCATCCCAATTTTCTTTACCAATTTTTCAAATATAGCAGTCGGTAAAAAAGAATTTTGGTGAAATGTTTTCGTTCTATCTCCTTTAATGTAACCCCCTTTCAATTGGCTATACAAGTCGTATTAGCTTCATACAATGTAGTTGGGGGAATTTTATCTGAAGATATTAATCCGCAATTTCTCAAAATATGTTGTGTTATTGACCTCAACCAAACACATTATCGACTAGCTTTATATATTGTCAATATTTTAGCATGATTTGAAAAAGTGGCAGTTAGAGTTTGTTTTAGCGATCTCCAAAAGATCACAGTTTCCTCACAAGTAAATATGTAGCAAGTTTGTGACTTGGCTTTATGAGGATCAGATACATATCCTGCATCGGCATAACCAATTAATTCATGTAAAAAATCTTTCGAGTAAAATAAGTTGAGATCAATTGTTCCTTGGAGATAACAAAAAAATGTGCTTAATCTCATTCCAATGTCGTCGAGTAGGCGATGAGCTGAATCTTGCCAGTAAATTTACAACAAATGATATGTCAGGTCAGGTGCTGTTAGCAAGATACATCAATGCACCTACAGCACTCATATATGACACTTCTGGACCAAGTGTTTCATCAGTTTTCTCTTTTGGTCTAAATGGATCCTTTATTGGATCGAGTGCTCTGACAATCGTTAGGATACTTAGCGGATGTGACTTGTCCATTCAAAAATTGTTTCAGTACACTATTGGTATAATTTGATTAATGGATAAAGGTCTCATCTTCCAAAAGCTCAATTTGCAAACCAATACAAAGTTTTGTATTTCCAAAATCTTTGATCTCAAACTCATTTTTCAAATATTCAATAGTTTTCTGGATTTCATCAGGAGTTCCAATTAAATTGAGATCATCAACATATACAACGATGATTACAAATCTTGACCTATTTTTTTTTTTTTTTTTTATGAAAACACATGGACATATATGATCATTTATATAATAACCTTCTTTTGTTAGGCTTTTGCTGAGACAATTGTACCACATTCGGCCTAATTGGTTGAGCCCGTACAAAGATTTTTGCAATTTGATGGAATATGATTCTTTTGGTTTTGATTTGAATGATTTAGGTATGTCAATCCCTTTTGAAATTTTCATGTAGACATCATTCTCTAAGGAGCCATAAATATAGGCAATAACCACATCCATTAATCGCATATCAAGATTATTATGTACTGTCAGGCTCATTAGATACCTAAACGTTATTCCATCCATGACCGGTGAATATATTTCTTCAAAATCAATGCCCGGTCTCTGGGAAAAACCTTGAGCTACAAACTTTGCTTTATATCTGGTGATATCATTATTTTCATTTCTTTTTTTCACAAACACCCATCTATAGCCAAAAGGCTTCACATTTTCAGGTGTTTGGATTATAGGGCCGAATACTTGCCGTTTTTTCAATAATTCCTATTCAGACAGAATTGCGTCTTTCCATTTTGCCCAATCATATCTTTGCCGACATTCATCAACTGATTTTTTGGTTCATAATCCTCGTCATCTTTCATTATGTCTAGTGCTCTAGAATATGCATGCATTATCAATATTTGTTTTCTTTATGTTCCAATATTTTTCATTAGTGGTATAGTTAACAGAAATTTCAATAACTTCATCCTCACTTTCATCAGAATTTTTAGTATCAACCTCTTCAGGAGTTGTACTGACTTTTTCAGGTATCTGATCATTGTTGATATCTTCACCAATATTTACAATTTTTTTCTTTCGTGGATTCTTTTCCTTGGAACCCAACGGTCTGCCACGTTTTACGCGGGCAATATGCTTATTAGCACTCGGCACCTTTCCTTCTAGGATATTTATCTTAGTTGGTGTATTTGCTGCTGAAATATATGATTTCGTAACTCTGGCATCATCATTAAAAGCCATCAGTCAATTGATTTGCAATTTTCTACAATTTTCTAATTCTTTGAACTTCAAGTACACTATGTTTTGTATGATGATCAAATTCAAGTGGTATTTTCCATAAAATTTCTTTTTTTTTTTCTAGTTGATTACTGTCTTCCCCTAATATCGGTAAATGAGATTCATCAAAGTGACAACCTGCAAACCTTGCAGTAAATAAATTGCCTGTTGTTGGTTCAAGATATTTCGCAATCGATGGTGATTCATACCCGACATATATACCCAACCTTCTTTGAGGTCTCATTTTCGTTTGTTGAGGTGACGCAATTGACACATAAACAACACACACAAAAATTCGCAAGTAAGATATATTTGGTATTTTTCCAGATACCAATTGAGTGGGGAAATAACAATTTTTTCCGACTTATTTTCACAAAGGCTGCTGCATGCAATATAGCATGTTCCGAAACTGATACGAGAAATTTAAATCTCATTAACAATGGTCTAGAAATTAATTGTAATATTTTGATAAGAGATTCAGCCAAGCCATTTTGCGTATGTACATAAGGAACAAGATGTTCCACAGTAATCTCAATTAACATGCAGTAGTTATTAAATGTATGTGATGAATACTCTTCAGCATTATCTATACATATTTTCTTTATCGGGTGATCTGGAAATTGTGCTCGCATTTTAATTATTTGTTCAAGTAGTTTAACAAAAGCTAGATTGCGAGTAGATAACTAATATACGTGTGACCATCGCGTTGACGCGTCAATTAGTACCATAAAATACTTGAAGGGTCCACACGGTAGATCGATAGGTCCACAAATATCACCCTGAATTCTTTCCAGAAAAGCTGGAGATTCAAATCCAATATTTGTTGGAGATGCCCTAATTATTAACTTTCCTTTGGAACAAGCAACACAAGCAAAATAATTCGGACTCAAAATATTTTTCTTTTTCAATGAGTGACCATTTGAATTTTCAACAATTCGGCTCAGCATTACATTTCAGAATGCCCAAGTTGATCGTGCCAAATTTTACATTCGTTAGTAGCCATTTGGTCTATTAGGTAATATGTTTCAACGACACTGACTTTTGAATAATATAAGCCGGAAGAAAATGATGGCATTTTTTCTTTCACAATTCTTTTGTCATTCACAACCTGAGTGATCAATAGATACTCGTTTTCTACCTCATTCAATGTTTCAATGTGATACCCATTTTTTCAAATATCACTGAAGCTCAGTAAATTCGTTCGAGCTTTGCTCGAGAACAAGATATTTTCAATTGCCATTTTTGTCCATTTAAGGAGAAATACAGTAGCTTTACCTAAGACTTCAATCATTTTCGATGCACCAGTGATAATAACAATAGTGGTCTTTCCCATATTCAGGTGGGAGAAATAACTTTTATTTTTCAGAATATTGTGAGTCTTAGCATTGTCGATAAGGCAGATATTATCATAGGCTCCAACATATATGACATCTATATCTTTGCAAGAAGGTAAAAATAATAAAAGACGTGTATTAGTAACATAATCAAAATAGATTTATATTATAGGGGATAATACAAAAAGGGACAGAAAACATCAAAATAACAATGCGATACAACAACATTTCATCATTTAACATCATCAGCTATGTCAAGCAGATCATCGACATCCAGGTGCGTGATATTTTCATTCATCACATCATCAAATGTGTCATCGTGGGCAACGCGATTTGTTTCGGGGGCAATTTTTCCATGCCTTTCTTTTGAGGCCCGATACAGTTTAGCCAAATTACTGTCTGTGCGACAAACATGGGCCCAATAGCCTTTGATTCCACACCGGGTGCATTCCTCGTCATTGTTTCTATTTCTCCCGGTGTTGAACCTCTATTGAGGTTTGTACGGACTTCTGTCATTATAACGCCGATTTGGCACATATTGGGGTATGTTTTGATAATTATTATGACTGTATACGTTTGTTCGACCCTGTCCGCGATTGTGATTTCGATCGCAATCAATTGAGTGATTTTTGACTTGCCCACGACCATGCACTGGATTTGGTGGTTGTATTGTATTTGCCTCTGGAAATAGATTTGCATCTGTTGGCCGAGATTCATGATTTTGCAACAGAAATTCAGTATTTTGTTCGGCAGGCAAAAGACATATGATTAACTCAGAATATATCTGGAAGCCTTTATTGCGATACTGATGCTGCCAAACCATGTTAGATGCATAAAAAATGGAGAAAGTTCTCTTCATCATATCAGATTCAGATATATTTTTGCCATAGTGGCGCAGCTGTGATGTTATTTTAAACATGACAGAATTATATTCTTGGAATATTTTAAAGTCCTGAAGCTGTAGACTTTGTCATTCGCTTTGTGCCCTTGGCAACAAAGTCAGCCTTAAGTGATCATATCTTTCTTTCAATCTTTCCCACAATTCATGTGGGGATTCCAATGTCACATACTGCATTTTCAGTGCCCCATCGATGTGATGGTACAAACAAATTATGGCCTTTACACGATCTTGGCTCAGGGAATTTTTATCCCGGGTAATGGTATTTTCCAAGCCCATTGATGCTATATGCATTTTAACATCGCGAGCTCAGACCATATAGTTTTGGCTAGAAACGAGGAGAAAGATAAATTCATGTTTGGCAAGGTTAGACATAATAAACAACTAGAATATAAAATATTACTTTGCGGAAATTAAAATATATAATTGTGCTGATAACATGTTGTAATATTATTATATGATTAAAAAATAAAAATATTAATTATTTCCATCGTTGACTAGTATTTTATATATTTTGTATAAATATATAGCATAATATATGTAGTAGATATATGTATGAGTGTGTGTGCATATATATGCATATTATGTATGCATGCAATAGTATAATATAATAAATATGCTATCTATGTATGGATGAGTATATATATATAAGTAAAAGAGAGAGACACGGTGAGACAAAAAGAAGTAAGATGTGAAGTGTTTATTTCTTTCTTCGTGCACTTAGTACATGGGGAAATATACATATATATATATATACACACATAGTAGATGGAAAGAATAATAGATAACTACAAAAATGCCAACAAGATCTCTACGTAGTCTCTACGCATAATTGATCAAACGCATCCATTTATGTACACGTATTTATTATGTGTACACCAACATATATTATTTAAATTAAAACTTTATTTGAAATCCAAATAAAAACCAAACAAACCCTTTAAATTTGAATAGTTATAACAAATTTAGAATTCATTCTTGTTTTATCGAGTCATCATTTTTTCCTCTTTCATGTGGACGATTGTTGGGTATGTGGAAGTGAAAAAAAGAGAATATGAATGAACTTGTCGCACATTAAAAAAACGGAACACTTCAACCCACCTTCAAAGATGTATTCTTTTTGTTTTTGTTTTTGATTTTTTATTTCCATACATTTTTTCAAAAAATTAATACATTATGTATATTCATTATTTTTATATTACTTACATAATTCTCAATTCCTTAGTAAGAAAGTATCCCTTCATAATTATTTCACAAACAAATACACCCGGAATTTTGTTCCAACAAATATAAATGAATTGATTGAGTATGATTTGAATGGACATGATTGGGCTTTGGGAGTCTTGGGTAGGGGTGGGCAAAAAAATCGAACCGAATCGTCGAACCGTTGAATCGAACTGAATCGAATCGAATTTTCGGTTAACTGAGCAAATTCGGTTCGAATACAAATTCTGCATATTTGATATTTGTTCGGTTCGGTTCGGTTTCGGTTTTTCATATTTTTTTCGGTTCGGTTAACCGAACCGAATATATTTATGTATTTATAATATTATATTTTAAAATTTATATTAATAATTATATACGGTTCGGTTTCGGTTCGGATATTTGAAATATTTGCAAATATTTTTTATTTAATTAAAATTTTAAATTTTTTTTATATATTTTTTCTTAATTTCGGTTCGGTTCGAGTTATTTGCAAATACTACAAATATTTTCGGTTAATTGAAAATTCGGTTAACCGAAATTTTCGGTTCGAATACGGTTCGCGGTTTCGGGTATTTGTTCGGTTCGGTTCGATTATCAAATACCTGCATATTTGCAAATAACCGAACCGTGCCCACTCCTAGTCTTGGGTTTGGGAGCCGTGGGCCCATACCAATTACATGAAGTCTAATTTTTATTTAATGCACGAAAAACTCTACATAAAAGAGATTTACAAATTTTATTTTATTTTATTTATTTATTTTTTTTAAAAAAAAAGTTTAAATGATCCACTCTTTCACGCTCGTTCCTTCCTTCCTTACCAAATTTTGTTTTCTTAGTTTGGCTTGATTCGAAATTAATTTTTAATGATTTTATTCATTTTATCCTATGAAGCTTTTTTCAGCCGCCTGAATTTGCTTCAAGAAATTTGCATGCAATACGAGACTCGAACTCCAATTTCAATTTCTTATCTTATTCGAAATTTGGTTTGGATTTCTTCCATCTCGATTTTCATGACACCCATTATACAACAACGAAAGAGCATAATGATATTGTACCAAACACAATACATCCCAAAAATCGATATGACAAATATATATACCGCATCGAATTAAAAATCGATAAATATTATAAAATTACGCTATTTTGGTATTAAATTTGACTTTGAATTTTAATTATTATATGAGCATGACATATAATTATTATTTTTATTTAGGGTGTAGTTTTTTCGCCTCAAACTTTCAGTTTTTTACTATTTTGTGTCTGTATTTTTCAAAAAACATATATATTTTTTTTTACAAAATATCTCATTAAATATTATTTTAATATCAAATTTAAAAACTAAATTTTCTCTCAAACCAATCAAGAAAACATACTCTTAATTTTTGTGTTGATAAAAAAAATTATTAGTTTTATTTTTATTATGTATTTTAGAATAAAATGTGATGATGAAGTAAGATTTCATTCTTAAAAATATCTATTAAAAATATAAACATTTAATGAAGTTAGAAATAGTAGAACTTTTTTATTTTATTTTATTTTTTATTTTTCTTCTTATTATTATTTTTGAGTGCCGTGTGGACATGGTGACTTTATGACATCTCCATGCCAAGCTAAATATTTGTTAAAATTTATATTTATTTGATATATTATGTACAAATATTTCTTTATATAATATTAAATTAGTTTCATTTCATTGTTTACAATTTAAAAAAAATCATAAAAACTTAACATTCAACTTATGAAATAAATATTATCAAATTATACTATATTTTATACCGAAATTTTTGATATGTTAAAAGAACATATACTAAAAAATTGGCATATAAAAGATTCAGTGTAACAAATATATATTATACTGTACCAAAAATTTACTATGCCAAATTCTTATATGGTATCGGTATATATCGAAATACGAATAAAATTTATTATATAATTTTAGGAAAAAAAATTGGTATCAATATACAAATTATTAATATATATTGATATAGAGAAAATCAAAATATCAAAACCAGTATATGATATTTTTATTACATACCGAAATACTAAAACTATCAAACTTACATACTGTTATCATATCAAAAAAAATTTCTACTATATGGTATCGTACCAAAATTTTAGTATTTTTTTTGGGTATAATATTGCGGTATTTAAGTAATTCCGTATCTTTTCTATTCATAAATATTATCATTATTATTAGTCATATTATAGTATTGAAATAATTAATTTTATACCCAAAAAAGTGATTAATACAAAATTTAGAACAGATCGGAATTTAACAATTCATATGAAGACATATAGATTTTATTTTTTATTTTTTATTTTTTTTACTAAAGATTAGCAAAATATATTTTGTTTTTTTGGAAGATGTATGATCCACGTTTCAAACAAATACATTAAAGACAGAAATACGTGTAACAATAAACTTAAGATATGTGTGGATGAAATGAAAGGGCCACAAATTTATTACAATCATCAATATATCTTCACAATAATACAAAAAGTAAAAATAAAATAAATAAAAGCACAAAAGTAACAAAATAAAAAGATCTGAAAGGAAAAAATAAAAAATAAAAAATAAAAAACAAGAAAAAAAAGGCCTAAATTATAACAAAGATGGTTTATTTATCATTTCAAACACAAATCTATTTTATTCGGCCAGACACTATTTTAAATAAAAATATACTATTTAATTTTATGTATATCACATCAAAATATTATTTTAACAAAAATTTAAATCATCGCTTATTTAAAAACAATTTCAAACAATAATCAACAAATCTCAAATATTTACAAGAGCTTAAGATTCAAGAATTAGGTGGCTTGGCACCTCCATTTTCTCGGGAGTTAGCCGACGAGCCGGACGACCTCCCAGTGATGGTCCGGCCCACGAACTTCCCGGCTCTGCTAAGGCCGCTACCAACAGCCCCTAGACCCGTCCCGACTCCGGAGCCGACTAGCGAGGCCGCACCGTCTAAGGCGTCCATGGTGCTCCCGATCACTCCCGCCTCTTTTAGCTTCTTCCGGTCCTCTAAAATTTTCGTCTCTTCTTCGAGGGCTGCTAATTGTTCTTCCTTGTTGAATTCATGATACAGAACCTGAAATGAAAATTCAGTCTAGTTGAGCTCGAATTGTATTGTGACAAAAATTTTATTTAAAAAAGTATAAAATTATATAAAAATAGTTTCAAACTATGATCGGTTTAATTTAATGGTGTCAAGAAATGGAATTAAATTTATTTTTGTTATTTGTTTGTTTTTTAAAATTGAAAGTTGAAAAGTAAATTATTTTTTATTATATACTTCCAATTTTCTCATATATATATATATATATATATATAGAAATAAACAAAATCGAATTTGTGGGAGAAAAATATATATATATATATAATTTGTTTCACTGTGCATAAAACTTTTTTTTTTTTTTTTTTTTTTTTCAGTTTTCCCCCGGTCTCGGTCACCAGTCATTATACTATCTATCTTAATTTGAGGGTTTTAAGTATAGTTAGTAGAGTTTTAAGACAAACTATTATTGTTATTGATTAGATACATTTTAAATTATTAGTTTATGTATTTTTAATTGATTTCTGTTATATTTCTTTCATTTGAATTTTAATTTTACTAAATAAAATAATCAATTCTCGTTCTTCACATTAATTTTGTTTATTTGTAATTGTATTTTCGTTGTTTTTATGAAATTTATTCTCCATTTTCGAATGTGTTCTGAATAAATTCTCAGCCGAATTTAATAGGTTACATAAATAGCTAATACTGAACGTACGAACCTGAATTGTTATAGTCCCCCTGTCTTTCTTGTCTTTAATCTTTGACATATCGATCGATGGGAACAATGTCAACTGGATTTCTTTAGTTACTTCGGAATCGAGCTCGATGAGAGGCAACTTTGCAACACCCAAACATTTGTCATGCCCAATGTCTTCATCAAACACCTATTTTTCCATATCCAAATTCAGACAACGAATATGAACATAAACACGAACAGTCTCAACTGAGAAAGATGTTTCAAAAGAATCGGGCAAAGAAGAAACCTCAAGAATCAACGACTGTGTCTCCTTGTCCTCCGCGATCAACTCGAATGTTTCATTCCAAACCGGATTCAAGTTGTTGTCGATCACTTTAGTCTTAACCTTAAAGAGAGGACGTATGTGCACGACGACATAGGGATCAGATTTCCCAATAAGCTCCATGTTTTTAAGGTTGTTTGCTCTTACAACCGTCACCCTAAGCATTCCCTCCGGCTTAAGTTCAAGTTCGCTGTAGATTTCAGACACGATCCATCAAGTTATTGTCCGAAAGGAACAAAACAACATGAATTATGCGCATACTTCACCTTAAGTCCCCGGGAATGCCGCTGACAGGAACAACAATCCGATGAGGCCATTGTAGCATATCGGTAACTATTGAATTCACGGTGTCCTTACAAAAACATACGACAAAACATAATTAGTCCGAATCATTAGACCAAGAAGGATTAATCGAATTGCCTAGTTCTTACATCAATCATGTCTGAGATCCCCGGAATCGCAGTTAAACTCCCGCCAACAGCCTTAAGAGTATACTCAATCCTGGGCTTCGGCTAAAAACGTGAAATCTCATTTAATTTTCGAGGTTTTCATAATCGACTGAAATCAATCAAGGCTACTGTAAAGCAAAAATAATTGTACTTTCTAGCTACCTCGGCAAGAAGAGCAACAACTACTGCAGAGATGCAAGGAATTTCATCGGTCAGTTGGAAAATTGCACGAACCACAGTAAAAACTTGAAGATCCTTCAACTGAAAAACACACATCCCCATATTACGCCATTTCATTCCTTTTACGAAAAATAGCAAAAAAATCCTCCTGTTGTTTGCAAAAATTGCTGAAAAGACCCTCTGGTCCTCAAACTCTGTTTTACGTACTCATGGTTTGGACAATATTGCAAACAATACCTTCCTAGTAATTAACGGTGATTATAAGGCATGCGTTTAAACTGCAATTGGTATAACAAAATGATATATTATGCGTTTAAACTACAATTTATAAAAATATCTAAGAAGGTATTTTTTCTGACTTCATACCTTGTTATATATATGATTTTATAATATCAATTGCAGTTTACGCGTGCCCCTAATCATCTTTCTTAATTACTAACGGAGAGGGTATTGCTGACAATATTTTTTAAACCACAAGGAGGTAAATCGAAATTTTAAGACTAGAAGGTCTTTTTAACAATTTTTGCAAACCACAGGAAATGTTTTGCTATCTTCTTATATATATATATATATATATATAAAGACATTGTAGCACGAGCTCGCGATTATTTCATAACCAACCTGAACGGGTATACAAGCAAAATGTGCAGCTTCAACGGCTAGAACAATACTCGGATTGCCTCCCCACCGGAGGTCAATGTCCATCGTAATTTGGCCTTCTTTAAGGCATTGGACTCGAACTCCTGCATGATTCGTGTAAGTAAAAAGCGCGAACTTGATGAGGCGAAATTTTTTTTCTAAGTGATTTGTCGTTTGTTGCGACCTTCGATCTTTGGGGCTACCGTGCCGAGGGACAACTTGCTGAATTTTAAGGAAGTAATGCCGGAAGTTCGATATGCTTCCAATAATGGCTCGACGGATTCCTTGATGACGGCTTCTGCTGCCTGAGAAAAACAAACCATATATATATTGTCCGAAAAATTGTAGGAGACAAATGTAGTTGTTTAATCTGAGATGTAATAACCTCGCCGGGAAAGAGTAGAAGCTTACATCTGCAATGTACGGCCATAATTTTCCAAGCTGTTTATTCAACCATTTCACCTGAAAATTGTAGTAAATGAAGTCGATTATCTCGATGAACTATGTTGATTTCTAAATATCAGCTCGCAGTTTCATTTTAGTTCATATAAGAAACTATTGGATGTAGTTATTGTACGATATGAATAGTGATAGTTTTGATTTAAAATCAAAATTATATATATATATATATCTAAATATTGAATGTGGTTATTATAATTGACTCTCATTATTCAGCATAACGATGTTAACACATGAAAAGTAAATTAATAAAATATAAATAAATAGCATAACATATATGTTAATCAAGACCGGTCATAACTTTCAAAGGGTCCGGAGCAAAAAAAAAAAAAAAAAAATGTTTTAGATATATAGGATTTGAGCTTAAGACCTCAATATTAAAAATTTAATTTTATACCACTAAACTACAACATTTTCTATCATATATATCAAATAAATTTTTTTTATATATAAACTATATATATAATATAAATATATAATGATCCCCTAGTTACCGTAGGTCCTGGACGATCGTCCTTTTCGCCCGAGCCCAGACTGACCTAATGTTAATATAATATAAATATATCGAATATGTGTAGGCTAAGAAGTTGAAGGTTAAACCATCCTTCTTTATTTAATTGAAATAAATACATTTGTCACTTTATGTTAAGAATAGATTTTGACTCAATAAATTTATATTTTGCATCCTAAAAAATTATGTTACTCTTTGAATTTATTGTCTGATAAATTTATACATATTTTATTTTATAGTAAAATATTTTATTCGCTGGTAACTTTATTATTGTTATTGTAACAAATAATAATAATTTATCATTATTTTCTTATTCATTATTTTTTATAACTTATTGATAAATTTCATATAATGTTATATTTTACATTTTTACCGACATCACTCTAATATTATAATTTCATTATTTATTAGTGTCCGTCCCAATTAAAGTTATACTCCATTCATCTCATATAAATTATCCATTTTTTTTTTATTTCGGTCTATCTCGTATATTTTGTATTTATTTTTTAATATAATTATAGATTTTAATTGCATTTTAAAATTTATAATTTAATTTTTTAAAAAATTTTTAATTAAATTATTTAATTATTTTAATTTATAATTATTTTTACTAATATAATCTTTTTCTATTACTTACTAATTATACTTTTATATAAATCTCCTTATCTATAGTGGACAATTTATTCGAGATTAAGGGAATATGATTTTTCTAGATGGATGAAATATTATACTCCCTCCGTCCTATGTAATATGGATGTATTACTGTAGACACGAGAATTTAAGTAAAGTATAATTAGTAGGTAATTAAGAAGTGTATTAGTAAAAATAATTATTATTTAGTAAAAATAATTATATATTAAGACTAAGATAAGTAAATAGTTTAATTAAAATTAAGAAAATTATAAAATTTAAAATTTAAAATACGATTAAAGTGCATAATTATATTTCCAAAATAGTAAGGACAAGTTATATGGGACGGATGAAAATAGAAAATATGGATAAATTATGTGGGATGGAGAAAGTATAAAAAGTACTTTAAAATTTAAATTTAAACCACTGCATTAATCAGTAATTTATACAATGGCTTTGTTTAATTTTACCCAGATTTTATTATTACTATTTTTTTTCTTTAAAAATATCAAATATTTATTTATTTTATTACATTAAAATTTAATATTATATTAAAACAAACATTAATACATATTTATATCACATCAACCAACTATTTCCATTCAAAATTAAAACTAAAACCAAAACCTCACAAATAAATAGGGGTGGGGAAAAAAATCGAGCCGAACCGTTGAATCGAACTGAATCGAACTGAATTTTCGGTTAACCGAGCAAATTCGGTTCGAATACAAATGCTGTATATTTGATATTTGCTCGGTTCTGTTCGGTTTTTGATATTTTTTTGGGTTCGGTTAATATATTTATGTTATTATATTTTAAAATTTATATTAATAATTATATTTTATTCGGTTTCGGTTCGATTACGGTTCGGTTTCGGTTCGGATATTTGAAATATTTGCAAATATTTTGATTTAATTAGAATTTTAATTATTTTTTTAATATATTATTTTTTAATTTCGATTTGGTTCGAATTATTTGCAAATATTGCAAAGATTTTTGGTTAACCGAAAATTCGATTAACCGAAATTTTCGATTCGAATACGGTTCACAGTTTCGGGTATTTGTTCGATTCGATTCGGATATCAAATACCTGTATATTTGCAAATATCCGAACCGTGTCTACCCATACAAATAAACGCACTGTAATTCTAAACTGTTTGAGTTCAAATTTTCGAACCCCAACCCCACTCCCGAAACAATCAATTCCTTAAAAAAAAAATAAAAAAATAAAAAAGTAGAAATAAAGAGGAAAATGATGAAACCTGCTCAAAAACAGGGAATGAAATCCACTGAGGAATGCTCTCCCCGCATATTTTCCTGACGTCGTCTCTGCTCATTGAGCTCAGCTGCTTAATCTCAACTGCCTGCAACAATTTCACCAATTCCATCCAATCATTCAGCTCATTGCACCTCATCAATCAAACAGACCTAAATAGCTGACTGAGCTTCCATGGCGGAAATCCCAAGAAGAAAGCAAAACTAACCTTAGCAATACGCTTGCTGCTCCGATGGCGCATCATGTAATTCCAACCCGCCATCAACGCGATCCCCGACACCATCCCCATCACCATTCCCGACACCCACCCCATACTACCTCCAATCCACCTGATTCTCAAATCCCTAATTTAATTTCCTTCTAAACAAATTCTTCAACCAAAATCGAAACTAACAGATTCGCAATCAGCTAATGACAGCAATTAATGGCGGATTACTTCAGCTCCAAGTCGCCAAATCGCTTCGCTCGATCAATCGAAAGGGTTTTGCAGAGAATTTGTGGTGGAGAGAAAGGACGGATGTACATATCAATTGGGGATTTTTTTTTTTTTTCAAAACTGAAAACGGGTTTGTTAGAAACGTAACGAATTGGGTCGTTGAAATTTGGGTGTTATCAATATATATATTTTCTATCTTTCTTTCTTTCTCATCCAGAAAGATCTGTGACGTTGACTCTCCTTCTTCTTCTACATTTCGATTTGATCAAACATTTGTCCGCCATTACCAGCCCTTATTTCTTTCTTCTTCTTCTTCAGAATCCTTTTGGAGATTCATCGTTTTGTTGGTGGAGTGGGCGTCCACCAAAATTGGGGAACCTAATAGTTGGTGGATGAAGATCACGTCTGATGTTCAAGAACAGGTGTTGAATGGTGGGCAGCAGAAGAAGATTTCATTATATTAATTAATTAATTAAGCATTCGATAAATTGATTCGTTCAACATGAATTTTATACGACAATTGACAGCATGCATTCTCGAAATTTCCCTCCATGTCCAAAAATATATCCATCACTTAGTCCAGCTACATCTAATTGCTGTCCATCCTTCCTGTCCATATATCACTGCGGTTCGGACCTGTCGGGATCTCTACAAGTGGCCCACGGGATTATCGCAATCTTCTTGCGCACACACACATATATATATATGGCGGCGGCTTAAGATTCAGTATTGTGCTGAACAACACACTATGTACTAATGGATAACACACGGTATAACCACAGCCAGTACACAACATGCGTTAATATAATACAAATACAACAAATAAACTAATAAAACATGATATATTCTAACACACCATACAACAATTGATTTTAGCACATAACATACTCTCATACAACACATGTTATAATTATAAACAAACAACACATGTTTTTATTACAAACATGTGCTATATGTAACAAATGCATATGTTATTTCTGTATTTTACGTGTGCTGATTCAGAAAATTAACATGGTGCTGATTTTCCAAATTCAACACCGTAACCCTTCCCATATATATATATATATATATAATAAGTTCAGAACATATTTCTAACTATCTAACAATTTTTTTAGAACAATCGGTTAATTATTTAATCGATAGAATTTAATTTTAAATTAAATTTATAATTTTCGAAATCGATTATTCATTGAGTTGAAATGCATAAAGGTTGTATAACGGTTATTGATAGTGTGGTTAAGCATAAAATACCAGTAAGCCAAAGGCGCATGTGACATTTGCCCGGACCAGATAATGACACAAGTACACGAGCATGAGTTTTGTCTCTGGCTCAAAGGTCTTGGTTGTGGTTGTGGGTTGGGCTTGAATTTGGTGAATGCTATACTTGACGAAGTCTATTATGTTCCCAAGTCAAATAGGAACAACAAAACATTTTGTTGAAGTCCAAAAAAATATATTTGTGTAACAAAAATATAGCAAAAAATTATAATTATATGCATATATAATAAATGATTATTTGAAATTCAAAATTCAAATCATATATTTATTACCATAATTAAATTTGGTGTTTATGGCCTGATGTTACCGAAATTTAATTGTCGTTGGTTACAGGCCATTAAGAGCCGACGGTTTCGGCTTGATATTTAAGCCTCAACGGTGGAGGTGCCTTCTCCCACCATTCCTTTTGACATAAAAAACCAATGAGAGCTCCTCTTTTCCTTGTCTCCCTCGAGTGCTTTTCTGGCGAAGTTTCCAACAAGTTCGTCGGCAAAATTTGATCAAATATTTTCGGAGAGTTTTTATAAAAATATCTTTTAAGATACAAAAAAATGATATATGTATAAAATGAAAATAGTGTCGTGCGTGTTCGTGTAGTAACTCCAAAAACTTCGTCAAAAATAAAAAATCTCTTTAACCGGTGAGTGTCCGGGTCGAACTCAGGGAATATGCAAATATCCTATATTTAATTAGAAAAAGTGCAATGAGTTAATGCAATCGAAGAAGCTGAAAAGATAAATTGTAGAAATTAAATCTAACTAAAAAGCGATAAAATATACGTATCTCGAAAATGATGAAGCGAAGCGTTTGTGTTTGACTTTTGCGTTCCTTAATGGCTAGATTTCCATGGATGAAATGAGCGGGATGACGATGGCGTGATAGCGAAAAATATATGTATAATCGCGGGGCGGCACAGTGAAATGAGCGTGATCGCATTTGCTCGCTTAAGCCGATTCTCGACTCGGTTGGTACTTGACCTTAGGGGATTTACAATGAGGCTTCAGCGACACCCGGCGAAGAACATTATAAGCAAGAAACTCTACTGTCACTAGAAATTTCTGTGACCCAATAGACCACCGCCTATGCCCCATTAATTATTCTTCCAACCGTTCCGCTAGTGGCTCTACCCCTCTGATATCTCTCTTTAATCAGAATCGAATTCAGAACAGCAACTAAGCAGGTTGACAAGGCTCCCGCGTACTTAGCTACATTGAACTACCCGGAATCTGCTTTTGGCACGAAACAGGGCTGAAATAGTCGATTCTTCTATCGCCCTTCCGCAACCTTGTCGAAATCCAACTTGAACAAGTCTAATCAAACATGGAATTTTTTGGTGAAGGTGAGGTGAAGAAATATGATAGGAATTTTACTAGCTAAAATAATACGCAGGAATTCAAAAGAAAAAAAAGGGAGAAAATCAGTTTGCTCGCGACACAAAACCGAAAATCTCGTATTATTAAACTAGATAAAAATATGGGAGAAAAAAATGGAGAAAAATGGAGTGTATGGAATGTATATTATTGTGTATATATGGTGTGTCATATATATGTGTATGGTACAATTAGAGATGATATTTATAGGGGGAAAAGCTTCTAGAAGCTTGGCGGTTACAACCGCCAATAAATAATTATTTCTAAAAATAACTACTACCTACCTCTAAAAATAACTATAAATAACTAACTCTAAAAATAGCTACTAATATAACTACTAATAACTACCTATTTTTTAGAATGTTCTAGAATAAAAAATTACACAAAAATAGTCAAAAATGGGCTAAAAAGTAGTGCAGAAATTTAATTAAAGGAGCTGGGAGAGTGTAGTAAATGCAGGAGCTGAGGGTGCAGGAGACATAAATGCAGCGGAATTCTGTGCAGGAATTATTTTGGCGGCACAGTAAATGCTCGGCTGACCAGCGACAATAAATGCAGCGAGAATTAATGCATCCGCCGCTTCGCTCACTTCCGCGCATGGCTTTCCGCTCCGCTCACATTTCCGTGTCAGCCGTTGCTTGCCTTCCGTGCCAGCCGCCATCGCTTCGCTCACTTCAACGCCAAAGTTTCTGTGCAGCCGTCGCTTGTTTCCGTGCAGCCGTCATCGCTTCGGTCACTTCAACGTCAAAGTTTCTGTGCTCATAAATACAACTGTCGCTCGCCTTCCGGCTTGCCTTCCGCGCGGCCGTCGCTTGCCTTCCGTGTCAGCCGCCGCTTGCCTTCCGCGCTTGCGCACTTTCGTGCAGCCGTCGCTTGCCTTCCGCGTGGCCGCCGCTTAAATTCCGCGCAGCGGTTGACTTTGACTTTCGTGCGTTGACTTTCCAACGTTGATCGTTGACTTTTGTTAATTTTTGCGCCGGTGACTGTTTTTTCGCTTTTGAAGCCGTTTTTTCGCTTTTAAGACCAATTTTGGACTCACATATCAGTTTTCAAGTATTATTTTACCTATATAAATAATAAACACCTTACAAATATTTATTTAAATAAATAAAACTTATTAAATACGATTAATTTAGCCAAAACTAAATACTTAAATAGCACATAAATAATACCCAAAAATATAATTTAAGAAACACCTCAATTAATTTAATTTATACACCAAAATAATTATAAATTACACTTAAAAACTAATAATTTAATATTATACAAACAAGATGAAATAAATACAATTATTAGAGTAAATTAACATAAATAATACCAAAATTCGACATAAATAAATAATTAATTAAATAAATATAAGCTATAAAATATGGCAAAATCAAGAGTTATCAAGTGCTTTTCCGGCGAAGTTTCCAACAAGTTCATTGGCAAAAATCCGGAAACTCCCATTAAACTTCCCAACATAGCATTAGTCCCCTCATTTAGACCGTCGGAGCTCCGAAATATTTGAGTGTCACCTAATTCAAAGACAAACGTCGTTTTATCTTTAGGAACGTTATGCCACGAATCGGAGGCACTATCGGGGCATTTTTTTTACGAAGAGAGATTCTACCTCGACTCAACGTGATTATCGAATTAATTTCGATAAATTATTATTTATTATTGAATTTATTTCGATAAATTATTTATTATCGAATGTATTTCGATATCGAATTTTATGTTACGATAATTATTTGATATTATCGCAATATAATAATTTTCCAACATTTCCAACAAACCATTTAACAGTCTCTAAGCCGTGAGAGATACAAACTCTTTCTACAATGTGCAGGGTAGCGGTTAGGGTGCTGACGAGTTTGACCAAGTTAGAAAATCAATATACAATTAACAATTTGTCACAAAGCAAATAGTATAGCACATTAAATTTGAAACAATTAACATTTCATCACAAAACAAATAGCATGTGTTATGTTGTTATATATTATATTTATATTTGCTATTTTCTTTATAGATATTTGTTGATTGAGTCAAATTACTATTGTGCTGAAATCAAAATATATTTTATTAAAATCAGAATATATTTTCCTACATGTACTTATATAATATGCTATTAAAATATATAACATATATTTTATTTATATTTACTAATTTATTCAGAAATATTGTTGATTAGATTAAATCAGCACCGTGCTAATCCGATCAACACTATAACCGGAGCGAATATACAAATGCCAATGTTAAGAATGACAACTTTCTTCACACCCGCCCCTCCACCTAGCGTGTTCAGACATAGTTTGGTGCATAGATTTTTTAATGTTGGCTCGGCTAAAGATTTGGTAAAGATGTGAGCTAATTTGGATTTCTTGTGGATATAAGCTTTAGCAATGAATCCTTGTAAGTAATTATGTCTAACAAGGTGGTATGCTATCTCAAAATACTTAGTCCTCTTATGATATATCGAGTTTTCTGCTATGTGTATAGCTGATTGATTGTCACACTGAAGTGAGATAGTTAAATAAACATGAAGCTGTAAAGCTTCCATGATATAAGAGATCCATAATAGTTCACAAGTAGTTGTACTTATACTTCTATATTCTGCTTTTGTTGAAGAAATACTTACTGTATTTTGTTTCTTGGCCTTCCCAGAAATGAGGTTTTTTCAAAAAAATATGCAATACCCAATTATGGACTTCCTCGGACCTAAACACACCCCAATTGGCATTACAATAAGCCTTGAGTTGAAGAGAATAATAAGAGTTATATATTAAACAATAGTTTTATGTTCCTTTTAGGTACCTAATTAATTGAATGGAAGCTTCCAATGAGCG